GCTAGTTGCCCCTGAGGGAGACCCGGATGCACCAGACATCCCGACCCCGCGCACTTACGCTGAGGCGATGGCGGGTCCCTACTCCTCTCAGTGGCAGACAGCCATGGACGCCGAGATGGCTTCCTGGAAGTCCACACGCACCTACGTCGACGAGGTTCCCCCTCCTGGGGCGAACATCGTCGATGGCATGTGGATTTTCAGGGTGAAGCGGCCGCCAGGTTCTCCGCCTGTCTTCAAGGCTCGTTACGTTGCTAGAGGCTTCAGTCAGCGTCAGGGGGTCGACTTCTTCCAGACCTTCTCCCCCACCCCGAAGATGACCACTCTTCGGGTTCTGCTGCACGTTGCTGCTCAGCGTGACTACGAGCTTCACTCTCTTGACTTCAGCACAGCGTTCCTGCAGGGCAGCCTGCACGAGGAGATCTGGCTGCGCCGCCCACCTGGCTTTACTGGGTCGTTTCCTCCTGGTACCCAGTGGAGCCTCCGCCGGCCAGTCTACGGTCTCCGCCAGGCGCCACGCGAGTGGCACGACACACTGAGGACTACACTTGCGGCTCTTGGGTTCGCGCCGTCTACTGCTGACCCGTCGCTGTTTCTGCGCACAGACACGTCGCTGCCGCCGTTCTACATTCTCGTGTACGTCGACGACTTGGTCTTTGCTACTGCTGACACTGAGGCACTCGCTCGTGTGAAGTCGGAGCTGCAGAAGAGACACACCTGCACTGACCTGGGTGAGCTGCGTAGCTACCTTGGCTTGCAGATCACCCGGGACAGAGCTCGCCGCACCATCACCCTGACTCAGTCACACATGGTGCAGCAGGTCCTTCAGCGTTTCGGCTTCCAGTTCTCCTCACCACAGGCCACACCTCTGGCTACCAGCCACTCGCTCTCAGCTCCACCTCCGGACGAGTCCGTAGAGCCGAGTGGCCCGTACCCAGAGCTTGTGGGCTGCCTCATGTACCTGATGACGTGCACGCGACCTGACCTCGCGTACCCTCTTAGCATCCTTGCTCGTTACGTTGCGCCTGGGAGACACAGGCGAGAGCACTGGGAGGCTGCTAAGAGGGTGCTGCGCTACTTGTGCAGTACATCAGGCATGGGGCTGGTGCTTGGAGGACGCGACAGAGTTGTCCTCACTGGCCACTCGGACGCTTCTTGGGTGGACGACCTGGCTACGCAGCGGTCGTCACAGGGTTACACCTTCAGCCTTGGCTCTGGTTCTGTCTCGTGGCGGTCCACCCGCTCTTCCTCTGTTCTCGGCTCTAGTTGTGAGGCTGAGATCTACGCCACAGCCATGGCTGCACAGGAGTTACGCTGGCTCACCTACCTGCTGACTGACTTGGGAGAGCGGCCTAGTTCTCCTCCAGTTCTGTACGGTGACAACAAGGCGGCTCTTGCCTTGTGTCAGGAGCACAGACTGGAGCACAGGACGAAGCACATTGCTCTTCGCTACTTTCTTGCTCGAGAGCTTCAGCAGCGCGGTCAGCTTCGGCTTGTGTACGTGGACTCGAAGGCCAACACTGCTGATATCTTCACCAAGGCGCTCCCGCCTAGTGATCATCAGCGGCACTGTACTTCTTTAGGCCTTGTGTCCACGTTTCCTCACTTGCTCACTGCTTGACATTCTTTGTACTGTACTTTATATATATCTTGTTGCTTGCTTGCTAGGTTTTGATCACTGTGTTGCTTGTCTTGTACTATATCTAGCACTGCATGTGAACTGGCCTTGTGGCCTTTGCTTGTGCTCGGAGTGTGGTGACGTTGTGATCCACCCTGGGCTTTGCTTTGCTTTGCTGGACTGGTCTTGTGACCCTTTGTTCTCCCCCACCTTGCCTATGGGGGTGTGTTAAACTGTATTATGCTTGTAGGCTGTAGTGGGGTAGCCTATATGGGGTACAACCCCAACTAGGGTTTCATATTTGTACCCAAACTTCTGCTAGTTCATTCATTCTTGCCTAGTTATTCTGAGACCACCGTCTCTGCTGTGCTCCCACCGTCTCTGCTGTGCTCCCACCGTCTCTGCTGTGCTCCCACCGTCTCTGCTGTGCTCCCACCGTCTCTGCTGTGCTCCCACCGTCTCTGCTGTGCTCCCACCGTCTCTGCTGTGCTCCCACCGTCTCTGCTGTGCTCCCACCGTCTCTGCTGTGCTCCCACCGTCTCTGCTGTGCTCCCACCGTCTCTGCTGTGCTCCCACCGTCTCTGCTGTGCTCCCACCGTCTCTGCTGTGCTCCCACCGTCTCTGCTGTGCTCCCACCGTCTCTGCTGTGCTCCCACCGTCTCTGCTGTGCTCCCACCGTCTCTGCTGTGCTCCCACCGTCTCTGCTGTGCTCCCACCGTCTCTGCTGTGCTCCCACCGTCTCTGCTGTGCTCCCACCGTCTCTGCTGTGCTCCCACCGTCTCTGCTGTGCTCCCACCGTCTCTGCTGTGCTCCCACCGTCTCTGCTGTGCTCCCACCGTCTCTGCTGTGCTCCCACCGTCTCTGCTGTGCTCCCACCGTCTCTGCTGTGCTCCCACCGTCTCTGCTGTGCTCCCACCGTCTCTGCTGTGCTCCCACCGTCTCTGCTGTGCTCCCACCGTATCAAATGCGCCCTGCGGCTCCCACCGCCCACCGGCTTGCTTTCACCGCCCACCTGGTTCCCAGATGCGTCCTGCTCCTAGCTTGATCTAGATGCATTCCTTCTTTCGTCATCACGTTTGTCTTGCCGCTCGCGTATACCACCCTTTCTGCTCACCTCGCCTTACCTCCTTGTGCCGCCACCCGTTCCTCGGTGCGACTGCCTTGCCATGCCACCTCCATGCACTACGCTTCCTTCACACCTCACCCCGCTGTCCTTCTACACTCCCCGCCCATCCTGCTGGCATTTTTGGTGAAATCAGCCGTAGATCCCGGTATGGTTCCGTAATCTGGTACTCACGGAACCATGCCATCATTGGCTTTTGCTGTAGATTGCTCCTTTTTCCACTTCATTCACATCACAGTATCCCCCTCACCCCGTTGTATCACAGTATCCCCCTGACCCCGTTGTATCACAGTATCCCCCTCACCCCGTTGGGTCACAGTATCCCCCTCACCCCGTTGTATCACAGTATCCCCCTCACCCCGTTGTATCACAGTATCCCCCTCACCCCGTTGTATCACAGTATCCCCCTCACCCCGTTGTATCACAGTATCCCCCTCACCCCGTTGTATCACAGTATCCCCCTCACCCCGTTGTATCACAGTATCCCCCTCACCCCGTTGTATCACAGTATCCCCCTCACCCCGTTGTATCACAGTATCCCCCTCACCCCGTTGTATCACAGTATCCCCCTCATCACAGTATCCCCCTCACCCCGTTGTATCACAGTATCCCCCTCACCCCGTTGTATCACAGTATCCCCCTCACCCCGTTGTATCACAGTATCCCCCTCACCCCGTTGTATCACAGTATCCCCCTCACCCCGTTGTATCACAGTATCCCCCTCACCCCGTTGTATCACAGTATCCCCCTCACCCCGTTGTATCACAGTATCCCCCTCATCACAGTATCCCCCTCACCCCGTTGTATCACAGTATCCCCCTCACCCCGTTGTATCACAGTATCCCCCTCACCCCGTTGTATCACAACGCTCTGTTGATCCTTCTTCGCTCATGCTGACTCAACCATCCCTCCATCGTCTTTCAACCTCGTTCTACACTCGTCTCCTGCTCCGCCCCTCACCTTCCTCCTCCCTTCTGCAACTTACTTCTTCCCCTCCACCCTCCACCTCCCCCACCGCCTTTCCCCCTCCCGGCCTCCCTCTCCCCATTCCCTTTCCGCGGCCTTCTGGCCCAACTTTAAGTGCACAACCCATTTCCTTCCTCTTCGCTTCCATCCTCAATCTCTCTTGCCTTCATGTTCATCTCTTGCGAGTGCACATCCTTACCGCGTGTAGCCTCTGCCCTCTCACCATTCCGCTGCTCAGCAGTGCCTCTTGCCATCTCCGGTGGTGAAGCGACTGCCACCTCTTTTCGCCTCCCCCGCTCGGCCACTAGGGCAAAGTGCCTCGCTCGCACCTGCCAGCTCGCCCACCCATTCCAGGTACGGCCTCTCTGCTCTGCTCCCACCGTCTCACCTTTCAATGCGCCCTGCTGCTCTCACCGTAGCAATGTGTCCTGCTCCTCCCACCGCCCACCGCAGCACCAGATGCATCTTGCTCCTCGCCTGACCCGGATACATTCACCCTTGGTTATCGCTTGTGGTTTGCTGATCGCCTATCTCACTCGCACCTCCTTTTACCTCCTAGTGACACGATTTGTTTCTCGGTGCGAGTGGCTGCAATGCCACACCTCTATCCTCCACTCAGCACTTCCTTCACACTTCGCCCCTCTCCCCTCGTCCTCTGTGCTGTTCGTCTCCCCTCCGTCCTCTCTTCTCTTTTCGTCTCTCCTAGTCCTTCCCCTCCTTTCTTACCCTGCTCCCACCCTTCCCCGCCCTCCTTCCCTGCTCTCTCCTGCCACGTTCTCCCTCTCCCACTCTTTTTCCCATCTCCCTCCTCCCCACTTCCCGCCCCCTCTTCGGCCTCTGGGTCTCCTCACCCACCTCGTGCTTGTGGTTTCGCCATTCCTGTTCCATTTCACTGTCCATATCCTTCTCCTCCTCCTCATTGTCTCCTGGAGGTCACTGGTGTCCTATCCATCCTTATACCTCTTGTTTCATCCCGTACTTACTTCACCTCCATCAGGTTCTCCATCCTCTGTCTCGCACCTCGCATTAGCCTCACAGAACAACCCTCATCTCCTTTTCCCTGCTCTCCTGTCTCATCGCCATACATCAGGTCGTCATGCCTGTGTGCTCCTTCTCTCCGTCCTGGCCTTGTCGCCTCCCTCCTGTGACAGATTCGGTCTTCCATTTCCTTCTGCTCCTCCCCCCCCCCCCTTCCCTCCCCCCTTCCCTCCCCCCCACTCCCCCCCCACCCCAATCCTGCCCCACCTCGCTGTGTTGTGCAGGCGCACGCCTTGCATTGGGCTCGCCCCATCAGCCATGGCTCGGATGACTGCAGTGGCCATGCTGCTGCCAGGGCTGCTCGCAGCTGTCCTTCCCGCCATCCCTGTCATCGTCAGCATCATGCTACGTGCCAGGGATGCCTGGCCTTTCACCACTGCAAAGGACGTGAGTGCTGCCATGCCGCGCATCGCTGCTATGTCAAGGGTCGCATGCATGGTGCTCGCTCTTTGCCATGCTGTACTGGCCGTTGCTGCTATGGCAAGGTCTCATGGATGGTGCTGCTTGCTCTTTGTCGTGCTGGCGTAGCCTCACCAAGCCCACTCCAGCATACCCGCACATGTTCCACATCGTAGGTTTCTTGTGCTTGTGGCTTTCACGGTTGCCTTGCCTCATATCTCTGCATGCACCCACCTGGTCTCTCCACTTTGCCTCTTGCAGGTGACACGCGGCAACCAGCAGGTCAACCACCCTTTCGCGCTTCCCTCTGCTTCCATCTCTGACGTAAGCCAGGGTTGTTTTTTCCTCCCATCATCATACTGTATCTAATCGCTGTTTTTTTCCTTGTTCTGATGGATGATAGCAGGATCGGAGATCAACGCAGTCGCATTAAATCCTTCTGTGCTTCATGTTTGCTGTGCATGTGTGGGTGGGTGCGTATGTGTGCACATGAATGGCGTGTATATATGTGCGTGTCCTTGTCTGCCTCAGGTCAATGCCACTGGACCTCCCACCCCCCCCCCCATACCATCTTTTCCTCTCTTCTGCATGCCCACGCTCTCAACGTGCCTCTTCACTTCCTCCGCTCCTTGATGCGTCTTGGTTTGAACACAGCTTCTGCAATTTCCGCTTCGCTGCAACCAACCATTTCTGTCTTGATTCAGTGTTTCCTGGAGTTGGGAACATACGTATCGCCCCTTTCTCAATGTCAGTACTCACACACATGATTTTGTATGCCCTTACTGTTCCACGTGTACGCGTCTGCAGCCTTCAGGTGCAAACCATCTCCTCGTGCTGTACTCTGTCATCTCCACTCTCATCGCTAGTCTCATGGCGCTGCTGTGGGGGATGGGCGTGACCCACACGCAAGTCAGAGCATGGTTGTGTCAGCAGGGCTTGGCTGTGACGGCTGGGCTGATGAAGCTGAAGAGTGCAACCAAGTGCCGAGTGGTATGCTGTGCCGAGTGGTATGCTGTGTGCCGAGTGGTGTGCTGTGTCGATTTCTTCCAATGCTGCTGAACATCTCTCTACCATCTCTCATCCTTCTCCTCACTCCTCCACTCCCTTCACCGCGATCCCCCTCGCCCTCACCATGCTGCAGCCATGTGGAATCTTCCCTCTGCTGCACAGCCCTATGTGAGCATGCCATCTTCCCTCACCGTCGTTCACTGCCATCCTGGGGTGCATTTATCTTGTCTGCATTACCTGCCTCATGCATTAATATGTGCTCCTGCCTCGTGAATTATTATTGTTGAATGTGTCCAAGATTTTCCTGAAGGCCAGATGTTCCCTGCTTTTTAAAATCCCTCCTTAACCTTGCCTCTCATCTTGTATGGTCCTAGATGCCGTGCATGCTTGCTTCCTTTTCCGTTGATGTGCATGGCTTCCTTCTTGCTTCATGATGTCATCACACCGTGTTTCTCAAACCTGCATCTTTCAGACCTATATCTCCTGAGTCTTCCCCCATTACGAACACCAAAGGTTCTCGATTTTCCCCTGTTGCCTATTACTAAGGACTTTGCTTATTTTCAACTGTTCCTTTCCTTACTCGTTCTCACAATGCACCGCCTGTACTGCCTTGTGACCCTGCATGCTCCCAAAATTGCTTTCTAACCTCTGAACGTCTTATCTCCATGTGTGCTGCCTGTGCGATGCCTGCGTGTAGGAAGCGTGTATGTTTTGGGATGAAGCGAGTGGGTGAGGTTGTCGTGTCTGTCACAGCTAGTATGGGAGGAACACACGAGGGGAAAGAGGTGATGGAGATGAGAATGAGGGCGCTTGGCGTGCAGCTGGAAGAGACAAGGAGGGAGTTGGCAGCATCCAGGGGGGAGGTCACTGCAGTGAAAGGGGAGTTTGTTGCAGTGAAAGGGGAGTTTGTTGCAGTGAAAGATGAGACAGAGATGAGATTGAGGGCGCTTGGCATGCAGCTAGAAGAGACAAGGAGCGAGTTGGAGGAGGTTGAGAGGAGAAGGGCAGCGGAGATGAGGGAGATGAGAGGGCAGGGGGAGGAGAGGGAGGGGAAGCTGGCATCAGCATTGGCTGCAGTTAAGGTTGAGTTGGCTACAGTGCAAGGGGAGGTGGCCGAACACAAGCAGTCAAATAGATTGCAGCTGGAGCAGGCTGAGAGGAGACGAGTGGCGGAGATGAGGGGGCAGGTGGAGGAGAGGGAGAGAGAGGTGGCAGCAGTGAAGGGGGAGCTGGCTGCACACAAGGAGGGTATGAAAGAGAAATGGGATGTGGCAGAGAGAAGAAGGCAATCGGATTTGATAGAGCTGAGAGAGGAGGTCAGGAAGAAAGAGGATGAGATGAGACAGGAGCTGGCAAGGGAGAAGGAGGAGAGGAGGAGGGAGGTGCAAGATGTTGAGAGGAGAACAGCAGCAGAGCTGAGAGGGCAGGTGAAGAAGAGAGAGAGGGAGCTGGCTGAAAAGGAGAGCGCGCTGAATGCTCTCATGACGCTGCATGCTTTACGGAAACTCGTCCAGAGTGAAGGCAAGCAGGAGACGGCATGGGAGGTGAGTGCTGAATGAAATGTTTGACAGTGCATGCATTGTTGCTGGTTGAACAATAAGGATGTTATGACGGCGCATCTGGATATGGCTGAGAAGAAGGGAATCAGATCTGAGAGAGCTTGAAGAGGCGGCCAGTAAGGAAGGTGAGTGGATGAAATGGAAGCAGCGTTGGCAAGGGAAGTGGAGGAGAGGAGGAGAAAGGTGCAGGCGCTGAATTGTCCACATTGAGTTGAAAATCAGCTAGAGTGACGGCCACGACTGCGTGGGAGGTGAGTGCTGAGTGAACTGTTTGACAGGGCATGGATTGTTTGTCAGGACATAGGTTGAGAGGACATGTTTGCTATGGTCACAATGATAATCTTTCTTGTCTTCCAATCTCTCCTCATCCATCACCTTCAGCGAATCGAGGCAGCATCACGAGCAACCAGTGTGAGCCTAGCGAATATCGACGGCCTCTCCGACGACATGCTCCGCCGTGTATCCACGATGTCCCAACTGAAGTTCATTGACTTGGAGCGCAGCTCAGGCTTCAGTGCAGAGGGCATCAAGCACCTCTACAGGCTGCCACGGCTGGAGTTGCTAGACCTGGATGGCACAGGCGTCCCTGACAGTGCCTTGGAAGGGATTGAATCCTTGACCAATCTCGAGCAGCTCTATCTGCAACAAACCAAAGTGACTGATGGTGGGCTGCGGCACTTGAGAGGCCTTTCCTGTCTGAAGGCATTGTTGCTTTCTCGGTGCAACGGAGTGACGAATGCTGGCATGGTGCATGTGGGGAGGCTGACAGGGCTGGAGAAGCTAGCTCTGGATGGCACGTCAGTGACCAATGATGGGCTGAAGCAGCTGAGTGCCCTGACCAGGCTCAAAACTCTCTGGCCGCCAGAAGGGGGTAAGCGTGAGAATGATGATGTACGCAGGCGGATAGGCAGGTAGGGTGGCAGGGAGTGATGTTAGCAAGCGAGGTGATGTGAGGGAAGAGTTGACAGTGTATAAATAGTGGTTACTGGGGAAAAAATGGAGAGAGTGGGGGAGTGGAATGGAGGAGTGGGGCATAGAATGGAGTGGAGGAAGAGAAGAGGTGCCTTGCAGTTGGATAGCAGTAGGCATAGCTAGGGCTGTTTGGGCAAGACAAGAAACTACTGTATGCCTGAGGGTGCATGAGTGTGCATGAGGGGAGGCTGTTAAAGCCTCGCTTGCCTGAATTTGGGAATGAGATGAGAGAATGTTAGCGTATGAGATGAATCGATGTACTATATGATAATATGATTGCATATTCTGTCAGGGACTGGTTTAAAATAGTTTATTTTTTGACATGTCTTCAATATGCATGGTTGATCTACTATTGGCATCTCAAGGTGGATGATTGATCTTCATTCAGTTCATGCGTTTCACTATTATCCATCAAACCATGAAAGAGGCGTAATAAGGGTGCATTCCTGCCTTGACACAAATGTCTCAATCCCTTTGTGACACCCAAAAACTGCATACACTGTAGTGTGACCCAAATGCGAGTCGCCATTCAGCGACCACTGCTGTATTTTTTATTGGTCAGCGTGAAACGAGCTGACGTCGCTGACGAATTGTAACCCGACTCGACATTGTAGGAAAATCGCATGCGGTTCGAAATGTCAACGCATCTGGGCAGCCCTCAAAGCGAATTTCGCGCGGGGAAAAAATCCCGCACGTCTAAGCCACACGCCAGCCGAGCGATTGAAGAGATGGGTGTGCAGTCATTTGTTTCACCCAATCAAATACGCGCAACTGTGCATCTCGCCTGGTCGCCTAGTGTCACTATACATTCTTCTTTTGTGACGCGAGAATGTCGAAATGTTTCGACGCGACTCGGGAAATTGGGGATTGAGACATTTGTGTCAAGGCAGGAATGCACCCGATTTTGGTGTCAACAACCACATCAGTGACAGAAGGTGGTGTAGTTGAGTGACAAATGCCCTGCCAGTCGACATTGTGAGGGCATTTTGTCAAGTTGAGTTGTGGTGGTGCAGCGGTGGGAAACAGGCAGAAGTGATGAATGCTGCGGACAACCAATGCGATAATGTATGCTGAGTATGTTGAGTTGTATGCTGCTGCGGACTTGGGCTCAAGTATTTCTAGATTTTGACTTCACCCCTTGCCCCTCAATCAATGCTTCCACACCACACTCCCCAGCATTAGCTTCCATGATTGAGAGGAGGAGGCAACTCAAAGAAAGGAGCTGAATCTCCGAAACGGAAGGAAGAATTTCGCGTGGCATGCATCTCGCAGAATCCACAATGATTCCAACAGCTCGTTATGTGTCGACACAGCTCACAAAACATTGCGAATGGCTACCTAACTTCAATGTAATGCTGTGTGTGCACAGATAAGAGTGAAGGGCATGAGAGAAAGGCAAGGAGGAGGGAAGTGAAACAATGGAAAAAGAGGGGTGGAGCGGGTTGGGAGTGGAGGGTGGGAGGCGGGGAGAAAGGGGGAGATGAGCAAGGAAGCGATGAGAGTGGGGTAAAGGGGGGGGGGATTGGGACATAGCAGGCGGTACTGATATTGGACATGGCTCAAGAAAGGAAGAGCTGTACCGTATTCTCCCGGACAAAACACCCCCCCATGATAGAGCACCCCCGGGTAGCTTGTGCGGGGTGGGTGCTATGGGCGACCTCGATTTCACTATACCCCCCTTCTGGATGATTTTATAATACCCCCCTTTTCTTACAGATTCTATATTATAGCTGTTAACGAGTAGGTGCAAGTACGGGAGTATATCGCGAAAATCCCTCGCTCGATGAAATTTCCCGGTTCTTTCACATCAAATCTGCCGAGATTCCCCCCCGCCCCTTATTTCGCTGTCGCCACGTGCTGGCGAATCTTCCGCTGCAGGTGGCCAGAGAGGTGCCAAATGACATTTTCGAGGGGGTGATGACGTTCTCGTCGAAACTCTCTTTCGCGCCTCAACATGTGATGTTAAAAAGCCCATGGAAACACTCAACTTGTCTAATAAAAAAAACTCTAACACTAAAATATACCATATATATGCACCCGGATATTATGTAGCTTTTTTCTATGAGAAGACACACCCCTTTTTTCCTGTATTTTTTTACCTACCCTAGGGTGTTATGTCCGGGAGAATACGATATGTGGGTGCGAAGGCTACGGCTATGCTGTAATGCTGGGAAGGTTCATGCATGATGTGATGTGAGTGCAGCGCGTGATATGATCGCATGATCAAACTGCTAACAGCTGGCTGGGAGGAAGTGGGAGAGGTTGAGAGGGGGGGGGGAGGCGGGGGTTGTGGTGGGGGAGAGTGCAGACGTTGGAGGAGCTTGATGATTGCTAGGGATGTTGGGTGATGTGTGTGTGTGTGTGTGTGTGTGTGTGTGTGTGTATGTGTGTGTGTGTATGTGTATGTGTGTGCGTGTGTGTGTGTGTGTGTGCGTGCGTGTGTGTGTGTGTGTGTGCGTGTGTGTGTGTGTGCGTGCGTGCGTGCGTGCGTGCGCGCGCGCGCGCGCGCGCGCGCGCGCGCGTGTGTGTGTGTGTGTATTGTTTTCTCCTCTTTTTTTCTCTGAATTTCCTCCTTAAATTCCCTCCTCTCCTCTCCTCTCGTTTCCTCTCCTCTCCTCTCGTTTCCTCTCCTCTCCCCTCCTCTCCTCTCCTCTCCTCTCCAAACACCCTTTTCCTCTTCACAAACTCCCCTCCCCCACATCCCCCTTTTCTCCTCAAACTCCCCCTCCGTTGTTTTCTCTCTTAAGAAACCCAACTCCCCTTCTAAGCCAACAGCGACCGTTGCCCTTTTTCTAGTCATTATGGGTGCTTGCATGAAAGCTCCTCCAAATCACATGCACCTGAAACATCAGTGATGAGGCAGACATGGTGGGTGCTTACCGGGTGAAGTGGCACTGAGGCACAAGGAGCTGACCACCCTCCTGGGCGGTGCATGATATCATGACAGGCGTCAATTTAAACCTACCCTCCCCCCTCCCCCGTTCCCTGCTTCCACCTTGCCCCCACATTCCTTCTTGCCCTCGCTTCCCCCCTACATACCTATCTCTCCTCGCGTCCTCTTTCTTCTCCTTCCCACATCCCTTTCCATTCGTTTAGCAGCCTCTTATTATGCCCGCTCCCGCCCCGTCATCTCCCATTTCTCCGTCTGCCCTCCCTTCCGTATTCCTTATTCCCCATACCCAACTATCAGAATAGACTAGCAAGAATTGATGAACTAGATCAGAGTTGGGTACAAATATGAAACCCTAAAGGGGTTGTACCCTATATTGGCTACCCCACTACAGCCTACACAATATCAAACAACATATATAGTTTGAAACACCCCCATAGGCAAAGTGGGGGAGAACAAGGGGTCACAAGACCAGTCAAGAAAAGCAAAGCAAGCTCAAGGTGGATCACAACGTCACCACACACACTGAGCACAAGCAAAGGGCCACAAGGCCAGTTCACATGCAAAGGTATATATGCAACAACAATAGCACAGTGATCACTACCTAGCAAAAGCAAGCATGCAGGTATATATACATATAGATCACAGTATAGGCAAAGTCTACAGCAAGTGCGGAAACGTAGGCACAAGGCCTAACAAAGTACAAAAGTGCTGATGATCACCAGACGGAAGTGCCTTGGTGAATATATCAGCAGTGTTGGCCCGAGTGGCCACGTGAGTAAGACGAAGCTGACCACGCTGCTGCAACTCTCGAGCCAGGAAGTAACGCAGAGCGATGTGCTTCATTCTGTGCTCCAGTCTGTGCTCCTGACACAAGGCAATGGCGGCCTTGTTGTCGACGTACAGAACTGGAGGAGAACGAGGCCTCTCTCCCAAGTCAGTCAGCAGATAGGTGAGCCAGCGTAACTCCTGTGCAGCCATGGCTGTGGCGTAGATCTCAGCCTCACAATTGGAGCTGAGAACAGAAGAAGAGCAAGTAGACCGCCAAGAAACAAAGCCGGAGCCAAAGCTGAATGTGTAACCCTGTAACAACTGCTGCGTAGCCAGGTCGTCAACCCAAGACGCGTCAGAGTGTCCAGTGAGGACAACGTCACCCCGTCCTCCAAGCACGAGCCCCATACCCGATGTACTGCACAGGTAGCAAGGTACCCTCTTCGCAGCATCCATGTGCACCTTTCGGTGCCGACCAGGAGTCACGTGTCAGAATGAACGGACAGGAATGATTGAACTAACAGGGAAATCAGTACAAATAGCAAACCCTAGAATTGTGTACCCCATATAGGCTAACCCACTGTAGCCTAACAAGCACAACATATATAATGTTCGGCACACCCCCATAGGCAAAGTGGGGGAGAACTAGGGGTCACAAGACCAGTCAAAGCAAAGCAAGACAAAACAAGCTCAGGGTGGATCTCAAGGATTCCACACAAATTCCGAGCACAAGCAAGTGGTCACAAGACCAGTTCACATGCAGGTTTATAATAGAGCAAGAGATACAGTGATCAAAACCTAGCACGAGTTAACATGCAGGTATATATATATATATAGTAGGATGGGCACAGTACAAACAAGGTCAAGAAGTAAGCAAGTGAGGTCCAGTAGGCACAAGGCCTAGAAGAGTACAAAAGCGCTGATGGTCACAAGGCTGAAGCGCCTTGGTGAACACATCAGCAAGGTTGGCCTCAGTGGCCACGTAACGCAGACAGAGCTGACCGCGCTGCTGCAGCTCTCGAGCAAGGAAGTACCGCAGGGCAATGTGCTTCGTTCTGTGCTCCAGTCTGTGCTCCTCACACAAGGCAATGGCAGCCTTGTTGTCGACGTACAGGACTGGAGGAGAACGAGGCGGCTCTCCGAGGTCGGTCAGCAGGTAGGTCAGCCAGCGTAGCTCCTGGGCAGCCATGGCTGTAGCGTAGATCTCAGCCTCGCAACTGGAGCCGAGAACAGAAGAAGAGCGTGTAGAGCGCCAAGAAACTGAGCCAGAGCCAAGGCTGAA